CAAAGCTTTGTGGAGATGATGTAGTATGGTGGCAGTGGTGATTATTTATGGGTGTTAAGGGCATGATGATGAGACAAAGCTTTGTGGAGGTGATGTAGTATGGTGACAGTGGTGGTTGTTTATGGGTGTTAAGGGTATGATGATGAGACATAGCTATGTGTAGGTGATGTAGTATGGTAGGATTGCTGGTTATTTATTGGTATGGTTGTTAGGGTGGTATGATCATGAGACTAAGCGATGTGAATGTGTTGTATTTTGGTGGGAGTTGTCGTTTTTATGGTAGAGGTGGTTATGACTAGACAAAAAGCTTTGTGGATGTGAGGTAGAAAGTTGTAGTGGTGGTCATTAAGGTTGGTAATGGTGAGAATAGTGCCAGTAAATAAAAATGAAAGGTCTGTTGAATTTTTCTGTAGGTTGTAATGATGTTTAATTTCGTGACCATTAAATTTGTGCCTGAAAGTGCCTGCATTTGAATGTATTATTTGGATATTTTGTGCTGGGCTAAAAATGTTTTGAAGTTATTCGAATTTTTAGACATTTAAAAGAGAATAATTATTATAGAGGATGATTTATTCATGATTATTGCTCTAATATCGGCTGTGAGAAAGCAGCATCACCAACAGAGCATTAATTCAATTAGAATAACAAACCAAGTGCTTATAATAATACAATAAGATCACATATATGCCCATCGTTGCGATAAATGCACTGTAGCAACGAAAATCTTGTACGGAATAATTTTCATCGTCACTCCTTTAAGTTATAACTGTTGGTTCATTTTACTGCCTGATAAAAAGTTCCTACATAATTGAAGAATTACACCCCCCTATTTCAATAATTTAAATTATAGTATATAATTTCATGAAAGAAGGTTGGGGACTCAATTTATTAATTTATTATGAATCACTAATAGCACACAAAATTAAATAGAAACTCACATTATTCTTTCCAATATCCCGAGTACACGAGTTAAGCGAGACCTCTTGAGCTAAGAGAGGCTCAAGCGCTTGGCTCTCCATTTTGAAGCATAAAGATCGTTGGTATCAAACTTAGGATCAACTCCTGTTCGTTCGAGTGTTTATCTGCCATGTTTGTTTAACCGCTGAACTGGTGACCGGTGGGCTGTGTGTATACGACGTGTTTGCTTGCCCTGTGTACATGCTTGCTTTCACTAACGCGTGTGTCTTCATATCATCTCTTCAGAAGTTACCCCTCCACTGTTGGGCTTTCAATTCCCTTATTATATCAGGGAGCTGTTGATTTCCGTTGCCATTCGATGACAATACAAGTGACTTTCGTTTAGTCATTTACCCAGAAAACTAAAATTAAATGGGTTTATGAAATAATAAGTAATAACTTTGCCAGTGCCCCGGAAAAATAAAACAGAAAACTCGTGTTGAAGAAAGTAACTCCAGTACTATTATTTATCAGACACGACCTAGCAAGAGGTATTCAAGATGATTAGTATTAGCAAAGAACACAATTTTATAGAAATTTTCTTAATGTAATCTCTCGTATTAAGCAAACCAATTTTTTTGTGTAGCAAAAATAAATACATGGTTTCATAGTTAGTAGAAATTCATGAAATGTTTGAGCGCCTTCGTCTACATTATGAGCGTCGTGATCGCGCTGCTTCCCGTACGCAGCTCCCCTCGGTCTGCGTTACCCTCACGCACCCTCGAGTCGCTGATGCTTGTCTCGCGGCCAAAATGGCTCCGTGTCACGCCGATATACTCTTCTGCACTTCATTTATACTTCATCTATGGCATTCTATGCAATGAGATGAACTAATCTTTATGTTTTAATTTAATTTTCATTTACTGAAATAATACGAAAGATGTGTGTTTCATTGAAATTATTATAAGATGGCAGAATTTTCTTGTTTATATGCGTACAAGAAGTATACATTTTCAATTTTCCATTGAAATTGGATACTTATTACGGAGTTCGATTGGTAGTTCAAATTTTCCGCATTCACTTAGGCAGATAGGGCAAAAATATCCTGAAAAACTTAGTGATACTTGTTGACTGTTTCAGCTCATAAATTTGCTTCTATTTATGTGAAAAATATTACAAATGTTTACCAACAATTCAAGTTCTTTAATATTTTTTTTTTACTTGACCATTTTTATTTATTTTTTAAAGTCGTATTATGTTTGTATACCCTCACTTGTGTATACATGCTACTGATTTATAGAGGTGAATCAAACAATAATATCAGCTAATGAATGGCCGAGTCACTGTATAAACTTAAAACCTTTACCAGGGGTAATAGCTCGGTAAACGCGTTGAGTGTTTCTGCAAATATACGGACTTCACCTCCAATTATTCATATGTACGTCTACTATTAAAGTTGGTGAATAATTTAAGGCAAATAATGCGGACTTCACCTTCCTTATAATAATTCGTGTCCGGTTACTACCAACTTAAAATCGTACCACAATGAATGAGATGTTGAGCAGGCGCTGCAGCGTACGGAGGTAATTTTAAATGAGGTAGTAGACCAAAACAGACAAACAGGAGCCAGCGAGCTGTGATTGCTGTCCCGAGATTGACAGATTGTGTGATGGATTGCTCGACAATCGCTTCGTGCTGTCACAGCTCTTATGACCGTACAGACAGACGTCGCCTGGGCGAGCGCTGCTGAGAAAATTAATTGCGATGAAATTAGCTTCTCAATTAACGATTATTTGTGAATTATCGGAGGCCTCCAGTAATGTCTTGTATACTTGTGTTCCGGAATACACGGGAAGGGTGAAATTGAAATTATAAACATGCGAAATTCCGGATCACAACCTCAGTACAAATTGTTAATTAATCAAAGGCAAATTACATCTAATATTCTTTTACCGAAGAAAGTTTATTCTTCATTTCTAAAAGCCAAACCAACGTATCGGGTCAGAGTCAATTCTGTGCCCATGCAAATTATTAATGCATGTCGGCTTACAAAAGTGCGCGAACCTCTACTCAATTTCGTCTTGCGTTCGTACTTGAAAATATCAATTGCGATTGAAGAGATCAGCAGAATAATTTCCTATCTGTTCTAATACTATTTTATCTCTAACATAATTTTGGGAGCGACTGGAGTCTATTAACCCTATTTGTTTAGCTTTTCAATGGCAAATGCAGCTGCAAATCGTCGATTTCTCTTGTCACTTGCCTCATTACGCAGTCGGTAAGAAACAGCAGCCACGTTCACCGCGTCTGATTGACGTTATCTTGGGACCAGTGAAGCTTCATTGATAATTTGCAGGGGGCGTTCATTAAGGCGAGGAGCCTCTTAGTGAGTGTATTACAGCGTCCTTTGGTGTGCCTAACACCTGTCCTGGGAGCCTTTAACAGTGCCTCCAATTACTGCGTGGCTGGCGAGACACGGTACATGACACAGCGCTACCCTCTTCCCTCTGTGCCTTCCCTCTGTTACGTCCCTCTGTAACTTCCCTCTGTACCTTCCCTCTGTTACTTTCCTCTGTTACGTCCCTCTGTTACTTCTCTCTGTAACTTCCCATGGAACTTCCCTCTGTAACATTCCTCTGTAACTTCCCTCTGCATGCCCTCTGTTACTGCCCTCTGTTACTTCCCTCTGGAACGCATCGCCCGAGAAATGCTTGAGCGCAATGACACTTAAACGCATGCAGGGCGACTAGAGTACTTGATCATAAGTAAAGTTGAATTGATATGTAATTTACTGTATTAGTCGTTAAAATTAGATGATATTATGAGAGAGAACAATCATCTTAAATTAATTTTTTTTAAAGGCTACGTTAAAGTTACTTGGGTATTATTTACCATGAATTGTGACGCGCACATGCAGTCCATTTACTTAACAATTCAGCTCTATTTTAATCAGATACAGGGTTGAAGAGACTGACCTTTTTGGATTGCTGCTGGGTTAGCGAAAACTATTCATGTCGTACTAAAATTCATCAAAAGCCTTTGCCTAATATCTAATCATCGTCTTCATTTCCAAATACTCACTTGATTATTGATGTAATATTCTAGAAATATTTAGAAAGAATTGTTATCTAAGTGCTTACTCTCAAAATTAGATACAAAAATGATGAACAAAATAGTAAAAAACCAACCGATTTGGAACAAATCCACAATTTTATTTGTTTCAACGTAAAGTCTCTCATAGAATGTGTCGGAGCATGAGAAAAACTGCCCAGAACGAACGTCTTTATCTGTTAATATGTCTTCCCGCCCCCATGCCTTCTTTAATTTGGCTCCGGCAGACAATTTTGGCCTCTACTGGCGGCTCTTGTAGGCGCCTTCAATAGGCTTAGAACAAAAAGACTGGCAGTCTCGCAGCAGCGATATACGGCCACTACTGAAGGCAAACGACCGTCGTTATTCTTTGCCCATTGTTCCTCCTATGAGAGAATAAAGATATTTGTTCAGCAGCAAGATTTTACCATGTATAGCTTCCCTTTTAATTACCGTGCCCCCAGTCATATGAGCCAGGATGAGATGTTATTGAAATCATAAGTAGCGCTGTGTGGAACGGAAGAATTAGGGAGTTTGATAAATTTAGTCTTGTGAATCTTATTTAGTTATTGTTTTACTTTATTATCTTCTCAACCATTAGAGCGTCGAAAGCTCAATTTTATTCCTACTCATACATTAGCTGCAGTGCTAAATTTCCAGCCGAAACTACCGCTGTTCAACGGATGCGGTTAAGAAATCTACATAAAAAAGCTAAATTAAGTAGAATATATACAAGAAAGGATCACATATATAACACCCAACGATGTGTGTACACTTTTGCTAAACGGTAACCAGTAAATTACCAATTAAAGCAATATTATCAACGCATGAGATGCAGTTTTTACACTATTCATTAACTTACTTATTTTCACTTTTTTACTCAACTTATCGTTTTTTATGCGGTTTTACACTTATCGTTATTTCAGAAATGATAACCACCCCAACAATTCTAAGGCAACTCATTCGAATTTAATAAACAGATTCAAATTAAATAAAGAGATGATTGTACTCACCGGTATGCAGGCGGGTGTGTTGTTGCACATGCGACAGCTGCTTGAACCGCCTGTCGCAGTATGAACATTTGTAGGGTTTTTCTCCTGTGTGAACCCTGATGTGTTGAACCAACTGATGGTTCGAGCTGAACGACTTGAGGCATTGCTGACACTGGTGAGGCTTCACCTCGGTGCGGTGGGGGTCGCGATTGTGCATCTGCATCGCAGATTTGTGCATGAAGATCTGCAACAAACGTCAACAACAGCTGTAGCTTCATGGCAGATATAAATAAAAAGGAGAATATTTTAGTTTTTTCCCAATTGAAACATTATTGCACGTATTACAGCTGTCTGCACGTGCGAGCTTTGAAATGAAGATAAAAATGCATCAAACTCGATGGATTTCACACGTTCTTTGTGTAATTTAGAGTAACTAGATTTTTTTGGGAGGTCATTGATATTTTTAAGGATGACGATTGCTTCGAATATTGAAAAAATAGATGATGCGAAGCGTTGAATGCGTTACCTTCTTCAATTAAAACTTGCCCCTTGAAAATGGCGAGAAAATCAGCATTTGAATTCAAATTACTAAGACGAGATTCCTAAGTTATATTCATATAATTTCTCAAAATCTAAGCAGAGCAAGGAATTCATATTTTAAATGATTTATTGCAATCCCCGTATGCCCAATAATGACCTATAACAGTAGCAAATTAAAAATTAAACTGAATGTACTGAATTGTTATTCAGCATATATAGTAGGCCTACTGATACTGTACCGAAATAATTTGTACTGAACATGTTAACAATTTAAGTAGCCATACTCAAGTAGCTATCTTATTTGAAGATAAATATTTTAAAACCAACACCAAGTTTCACAGCTCACACATTAGGTTCTAGATCGATGTTCTGCAACAAACAACAATAGATGTGGCTTCAGGCAGATATAAATAGCGATTGTGCATCTGCATCGCAGATTTGTGCATGAAAATCTGCAACAAACGTCAACAACAGCTGTAGCTTCATGGCAGACATAAATAAGAGGAGAATATTTTATTTTTTTCTCAATTGAAACAATAATGCACGGATTACAGCTGCACGTGCGAGCTTTAAAATGACGATAAAAATGCATCAAACTACATCGATGGATTTCCATACTCAAGTAGCTATCTTATTTGAAGATAAATATTTTAAAACCAACACCAAGTTTCACAGCTCACACATTAGGTTCTAGATCGATGCGAGTTTAATAATTCATAGTTTCTGTTCCCCGATGAACTTCCGAGTTCAGTAGCAATTATTTTGAAGAACTGAGCAAACTGTCCGTGTCGCGCCCAGTTTTTTGGATCCATTTCAAATTAGAATTGAGTGGCTTGATATTGAAGGCTTTCAAAAACTCGAACGGTGACGATAAAAGAATCTCTTGGAACGATTTAGGGCCTTTGTAATTTATGACCCCAGCAATGGCTGGTGATCAGTCTTGAGGGCCACCCTTCTGATGGTCGTAAAAATGGCGACGACATGGGCCTAAAACGGACAGATGAACGTCTCACAAAGTTTCAATTCGTCTTTAGTAGCGTGATGAATGGGATATATAACGTACTTTTATAGTCTACTCGTTGCTGTATAGGGGTACATGACTGCTGAGTGCGAGTACTTCTATTGTGGGACGTAACTATATATATAGCTTTAGTACTGATAAAACTGGTACAAATATATGAAAATTTATTTTGTGTAATTCGAAGTTGAAATTCACATAATAAAGAAGTAACAGATAAGACAGTTGAGAACTTTGAATATGATCAGCGCTGAAGAAATTAAGAACCCTCGTTGAACTTTAATGGGGCTTAAGGCAAAGGCTCAATAACGAGCGATTCGCCAGTGGGAGGGAGCCTGCAAAATGAATGAGATTATAAATTCTTCTCATAAGTAAATCTCTTCTCATGACGCCAGACGAGAAGTTCCTCATTTGCATGCAATCGAATACACGAGCAATCATGGAAACCAAAATTAACGACCGTGAATTAAAGCCTCCAATTGATATTCTTTAGGCACAAGCGGTGGTAGTTTTTCGCTATTTAACGCGGGATCCTTTACAAAAGACTTATAACACGGGAAGCTCTTTTCTTCTGGCGTCAGAGTGATATTGCTCAGAGTGATGCTATACACGCAGGCAGGTTCTCTCTAATTACAAAGAAACAAAAAGCCGCAGAAAAATTGCCCGGAAATATGGTTCTAATGGCGCCGGTGCTGCTGCTGATGATAAGTGAGGGAGCTACCCACGATGAAGCTCATCTCTGCTAATGCAGGCATGAAAAGTCGCAGTGCAATTATGTAATTTAAGTCGTACGTGAGTTAGTTTGGGTCGCAGTATAATTATATAATTAAAAAAATAATTCAAGTCTGACGCGAGTTAGTTTGAATCGAAATATATCTATATAATTCAACTCCGAAACAAGTTTGTTTGGGTCGCAGTATAATTATATAATTAAAGTCCGACACGACTTAGTTTTGGTCGCAGTATAAATATATAATTAAAGTCCGACACGAGTTAGTTTGGGTCGCAGTATAAATATATAATTAAAGTCNGAGTCACAGTGTAATCATGTTAGTTTAGACAAAACTTGAATCGCAATGTTATTGAATAATTCATGTTCAACACTCGCAAAAGTCAAAACTTTGTTTATAATATTGAGACATCCACGGAGAAAAACATTAATAAATAAGGATAATTAGAGATATTAGTAAAACATTCGGGCTCATAGTGAATAATGTGAAAAAGGAACGTTGTTTGATGTTGAGGAGCATATGACCACAAGTTTTGGAGAGGAAAGAAAGTTAAATAATAATTGGATGTGGAAATAGAATAATTTAAAACCCATTTCTAATTTAAGAATTGTGTCTAATATCTAATAGACATAAAAAAATTATGATGATTTTAACTGAAATTCCTACCATTAAACAGTGTGCAAGAGAATAAACTTTTTTGTTTTAGATCTCACAAATTTAAAACGACGAACAACACATTTCTTGGGAAGTCATTGGCGAAAAAGAACTCTCTAACTTATGCTATCGGAAGGTAGCCATAATTGAAATTGTTGAATGAGTTTATGAGGTAGGACAAATTAGAGTGATTTATTACGACCATTACGGATAATTGCTCCAATGAAGCCCACTTGCTGAATGACTGAATACTTTCTGCGAGGGAGGGAAGGGTTGGCTCATGGCTCGAGAAACCGACAAGTTTGCTGGCGATGTTATACTTAAGAGAGAATAATTTACAAACAAAGAATGTTTGACTGAATTACGAATATATTATTGTTTCATAAAAAGCGTACTGTAAACTAATTCCGATTTAAAACTCCAAAGTTTAAAATTGTTTCTGCTTCTGAATGTAAAATTCCGAATTAACTTGATCGAAGGGCGGATTATAGCGACAATTACAGAAAATTCATGAAAATTTACTTATAATAATAAGACAAATCAATTAATCTGTTAGTACAATTTAAATATAAATGGGGCTTTCAGGAAGTTTAACTGGAACTAAAATGTAGAAATAGAAATAAATGACTCTTCAATAACGGAAATGTCACCAAAAGCGGTTCTGCGAGTAGAATAGTGTGCAAAATAGTGATAGTGAAGAGTATTTGGGCAGCAATATCATATTTCATTGATTGTACATATACAAAGTGGGTGAAGCTGACAATTTTAACGTCTTTATTAAGACACAATAAGCTAAATAAACTTGGAGCTCACAAACTACATTGACGAGTTCATAAAATTTGTCAAATAGATAATTTTCAGACGGAACTGAAGTGTTTATTAACAAATGCAAATGCGGAAGAGCAACAAGAAGCAACACAGACCTCGGCTCCAGCAGCCAAGTAACCCTAAGACTCAGCGGCGTCACTTGAAATTCAACTTTAGTTCTGCGTCCGTAAAAGTGAAGACGTACGGCGCTGCTCGCCACAGTAATGCGCCCATCTATTGTCCAAAAACGCGGGCTTCCATTTAATTATTTAGGCCAGCCTACTCCTTGCAGGCCTGTCCGACGTCGCGTCCTGAATTACGGGAAGTGGAGATGTTTCCTTCTGGTTCCGCGTACAGCGTCCGGCTTTTGTACTCTTTTAAGTTTGTGAATAATTTTGAAAATTCAATAATCAAAAATTAATTCTCTGAATTATTCAGAATTCGAATTCGGAGTACATTACAATTCGATTCTACAGTGACAAATTCAGAAATGGAATTGGAAAAAATTGTGTCATTAATTTTTATTTTTAATGCAAACAATAATTCATGCTTATACTCAGCCAATACATCACGAACCTATATTTTTGAGTATACCCGCTCAAGTTTAACATAATTATTATGCAATAATAATACCACATTAATTTTGTCATCCTCAGTTCCAAATATGAAACTTCAACTGATAAACAGATTGTTTGAACAGATGAATAGTTAATGGAAACGGCATGACGTTTAGTTTCATGACTCCTAGCTGCCCCTCGGCCAAACGGTCGTCTCTATTGTCTCATATCCAAGCGAGGCTCTAAGTCTGCGATTATTAAATTGCTTATACCGCAATTCTGCTTCGAGAGGCGCCCAAAACTCCTCAAGTGAGGCCAAGAATGTAATTTGGTCTCAGCGCCAGCCTTATTGAGGAACTTGGTCGAATTATGTGCGGCCAATTAGTAGCCGATGACTGGCCACCGATAAATAAACTACAATGAATCATTTTCATAAGAAAGGCCAACGTGGTAAGGCAAATAAATAGAAGCTTTGCTTTAAATGGTCGTTGTATTAGTATGATATATCATGAGATACTGAATGATCTTTTCTCACTCCCAATAATTATTTTGGGTGAAAAAATTTATTGTTGGATTTATTTTTTGACAGAATATTTTACATAAATGGGGATCATTGAAACAATACTCAATTAAGATGTCATGATTACCTATGAGGCAAACCATTATTCATTAATTGCTTTCTTAGTGCACTGATTTAAAAAAAATCATTTTTTTACAAATCAAGCCGTTATCTGGGTAAGTTTAACTTTTGAAAAATACTTCAAATTTTTGCGTCCACCATCACATACACTCACCACCATCACCAGTAAAGCTATGGGCTGCGATGCCTCGAGAAGAAACTAACTCGTTTGAATCGGGACTAAAATTAAATGAAGCCAATTATATTTTAATTAATAAACTTTGAGAAGAGACGCAGAGCGGCCGAGCGCTGCGGACTCTCTTGTGTCAACTGAAATTCTTTGGGTGGCAGCAACAGGAAGATTTCAAAGGAAAATCTGGGGCAATTAATGAATGTTCGTGCTTCTAGTCTCCATAATTAAAACTGAGCCCCACTGAGAAAACTTATTTGCGCACGGACAGCTGGGCTGTGGTCAGGCGGGATAGAGTTTCAGAATTCATTTGGATTTTAAGGACAAAATATACAAATATTAATTTTTCGATTTTAAAAGAATTGTTCGTCTCGCCGTCTTGATTTGTTGGCTAATGAAGTGAGTATATTCTGCCGAATTATGTGAATTAATTTCAAAATATTATATATTATCGGAGTTTAAATTTTAGAGCGTTTTGTTTAAGAGTTGTATGTTTTTTCTCACTTTAATGTTCCTGTTGCAGGTGCGGCCATTTTTGTTACACGCAAAAGTGACCTGTTGCAGGTCACTTATGCTATGTTGCAATCCGGTTATTTTCAGTATTTGAATTCACTTTAAAGTAAACATGTACAAAAAATTGAGTCAATTCTTAAATTTATTATCTTTTTCTCGGGTCTCTTTATAGTTATGTGTGCTCTGTATGGAGAGCAACGAGATTTAATGAATAATACATTGCGTTCACACAATCATCTTTAGTATTGTATATTTCATATTTATATATGATTCGTATATTTTTATCTCAATTGATTTATTGTAAACGCATTGTTCACTGGGACCAGGGCTGGTCTCAGGTTGTGTCTTGTTCTGTTCCTCACAAACGAAGCTGCATTAATTGCAGTCATTGGAAGCCCGTCTTTAAACTTATTGATTTGCAGTCTACTCAAAAAAATGCGCCCCTTGCCCTCCCGCCGGCCTCTCATCGGCAAAAAGTCACAAACAATAACAGAGACAAATGCATCTCTGACCCTGCCTTCCCTCCCTTCGTTCACCCCCTTACCCCTCGTTCTGCCTTCCCATCTTCAAGTCGGTCCTCTCATATAATTGTTTATAATTCCGTGCTCTGAACTTATTTGGATTAATCAAAGATGAATAGAACAAAAAGCTTGTTTATAGCTTTTCCATAGGCGTAATAAAAGTAAGATCATGGAACCAAAACGAGTTCTTGGATTTCAAGCAAGATCACGCCCAAGATCATGAATATCAAGCCAGATCACGGTTCTCAAGCCAGATCATGGCTCTAAAGCCAGATCATAAATATCAAGCCAGATCGTGGATCTCAAGCCAGATAATGGACTTCAAGCCAGAACATGGATCTGAAGCCAGATCACGGATCTCAAGCCAGATCATGGCTCTCACGCCAGATCATGGCTCTCAAGCCAGATAATGGCTCTCAAGCCAGATCATGGCTCTCGAGCCAGATCACGGATCTGAAGCCAGATCATGGCTCTCGAGCCAGACCATGGATCACGACCATGATGTATACATGAATCAACAGTCGCATTTGTCACGTCAGCTTCAGTCATCGATGCTCGGCCTGAAGGCCTGTCAAAGTTACGGCAGTCTTCAATTTGAACTTTTTATTGCCATCAAGCTGTTTTTGGACATTTCCATCCGTAGCGGATAAAACTTATTTGGAAAAAGCTAACTTTGGGCGGCAATAAAGTTTTACATTAAAATATTTTCTTGCGGACTGGCGCTGAACTTTGCAGAGAGCTGATGGAACTGAGCGGCGCTGGGAAGCGAGACGCGCATATTTCATAAAATGAGTTTACATTTAAAAAAACTTTGGGAGACCTACGCATATAGATGAGTATTGAAATATGATGCTGTCTTGGAATAAATTTTATCTGGAACATGACACATAAATTTTTTATCTGACACGCATTTGTATACGCAATTTACTCGCAAAATAAGATATGGAAATGAGGCTTTTTTTATATTCTCTGACAGATTATGATGACAGAATTGTTTGTAATAAATTGTTTCTAATCCACATCACTTTTAGACTCGATATATTTTCTTTTTCCCTTTTTTAGTGTCTGATATTGGTCGACTAGTGGAAAATAAGCTTTACATTCAGTGAAAGAAAGTGCGTGAAATAAGGTGCAACTTCCAACTGATATAAAAATATTAGAATAAAATTATATTAAACACAGATAAATAAAATTATTACAATTTGCAATAATTATTATAAACTATAACCGTACTGTAACACTGCTTATACCCCTGTCCAAATTTTTCCATTGCTTTAAACTTCAGTTTTCGCACAAACCGGCTGTCATATATACGCGCGCTTGACATTCGCGACACGCACGAGTTTTCACTAATTACACGTACACCCTGAGTACATTAGCACTTATTACGGTGACAAGGCTTCACCGCACGGCTCCCTTACAGCCACCTCGTAAAACCACTGCTGCTCTTGTAACATCATTCCTGTACTTGTAACATCACTGCTGCACTTGTAACATCATTTATGCAAGCCCTCGCTACTCACGTAAGTCCACTGTAATGGACTGGACCGAAGTCCTGAGTGAGGTTGGAAAAATTTTCAAGTGGACGTTATGAAAATAATAAATTCGGCATTAGCTACAGCTGTTCTATTTTAGGGCTGAAATAAACATTATTTGCTATTGACACATATTTGATTTTCATTTATCTGAATAGCGAAATATAAAATCTTAGGAGACGTGTTATAATGTATAATTTAATTATTGAAATGATGGTAGATACTCATGTTTATTTTCACGTCAAGATTAGAGCAGAAATTATGAAAAAAAAGTCCAAAAAGTCTATGACGTAATTTTAATACCTCTACCTATTTAAGCGCTCTGCTAATTTGTTCTCCGATCATTGCGTAGGTTCCCGCGCATGTGAGGATGAATCGCAGAAAAATCTCGTGACGCTTCCAGAACTTGATGCCCGCCTCTTTTTTCCAGAGCATTACGATGAATTCAAAGTGTAGAGATACGCGCACAACTCGGCCAGAAATTGCAGAGGTTGTGAGCTCGGACTGGTGACAAGAAGCTTCAATGTCCGCACTCCGAGTCTTGTGAAATTCCGCGCAACATCCGCGTTACAAGAGTGCGACAGATTCGCTGAATCTGTATAGCAGCTTGTGACTCTACCCTATTTCGACTTGAAAAACGGTTTTGTTGATTAAATTTCCGAGTTTTAACTCATTATGCTTCGTAAAAAATTGCGAGCCAGTATTTCGGTTGGAAACCTATAGAAGTATATCCGTAGATATTATATACCAGAAATAAATCCATTGTAAATAGGAAAATTGGCAATCGTAGGCAGTAAAATTTTCCAGATTTTCAAGCGAGATCTGAAAAAAGTTTGAAAGTATTATATATATAAATACCATGGAAATGGCATTCTTGGTTACTTCCAATCGAATTACAAGCATGAAAAAAATCAACGTCCTTAAGTAATATAGAATATGGAATCTTGACAATAGTATTCTAATAGCTCTCATGCGATTAATTAAAAAAGGGTTTTATAAGTTGGATGAGATATCTTACCTGGCCCCATAACGATGGAAACAACTGAAACGCCTGAGAGCAGAAGAGAGAAGTGAAAGGATTTTCGTTAGAACAAGAACATCTCGAGAAGACAACTCTCAAGAAACACTCAGACAAATGAATGAGATATTGTCGAATTAGCGATGCACTTCTTGCCCTGTAATGGCAATACTTACCTCAACTCTGCCAACGCAGAGGCTAAGAGAGTGGAGTCGCTCTTTTGACAAGACGAACCATTCGTTTTCTGAGAGAACGCATCAACGTTTACCCATACATCAACGATTATAACTTCTCTTTTTTATGAATATTTTCTGCATTATTACTTTGATTAGCTAGCCGTGATTAAAAACTAATGTCTTTCGTTGTTGAATGAGTGAACGCTTGATGTTCGTTTCCCGTGGAGTTTGTTCGTCAAGTAAGTCTCAGTGTCCACGGATGTGATCAGTCGAGCATGTCTTGGATGATTAGAATAAATTGAATGAGGAGGCATGAGAAAGTTTATGTAAGTGTTTAGTAGGCAGGATGGACAAAAATTATAGCTCATGAAAAACAAAAAACATTCCGTTTAAATAAAATGCAACGAGATAACATCGAGGATTCTAATTTAAAAAATTACAATATTGTTGTTTAAATACACATTGAAAGCTCTTCATGCAAGCATAATTAATCACATCATAACATTAATCTTAACCATAATACATATAATACATTTGTTCCGTAATATAACGCAATTGCTATTGAATTGAACGAACCTTACACGATGCGCTTCGAAAATCAACGAAAGTTTTTCCGTTTGTTTCGTTGCTATTCAGCGATAATAAATGCACTTAAGGGTTGCAGATTTCAGCGTAATCTCACCATCACTGCAAATTTTCTACGATCAAAGCCGAAAATTTTACCTGTAATGGAAGGACTGCAATTTGGAATCTAATTTCGACACTTAGAAACGGCGCCCTGGAAATTCGGCTTCGAGTTTCTCTCCTTCAAAAATAACAAGATCATTTGCATGGCGATGAGCATCGGAAATTTGTTGCGCCTGTGGAATGGAAATAAGGACGCTTGCTTCAACGGAAAAAAATTTAATGCGATTTGAATTGAGGAGCCTTGGGTAGTTTGTAAATAACAATATACTTGATAATATTAATAAGCTTATGCTGAAAAGAAAGAATAAATGTAGTTGAAGAGCCATGGGTAGATTGTATATAACAATAAATTTTATAATATTAAATAGTTTATGCTCTAAAGAAGGAATTAATGTAGTGAAGAAGAACATGTTAATAAAAAAGGCTTAAAAACATTTGATTAGGATTTCTAGGCAATTTACACTTTTCACGATCCTTGATGGCTGATTTTAAGAAGGCCTTCCCAGTGCCGTGTGGAGGTCAGCTACAGAACATCTCGCAAACATTTTTTGATTAGGAAATAAAACGTTTCTTGCACCGTTGAATGGGAAATAGTGGAACTTTTTCCATATTATTTCATTTGCCGATGCGCATAAGGATCATTAAGGCACAACCGTGCGCATGTCGTTGCGTTCAGTGCTCTTAAGAGATCTTAACAAGCATTAAATGGGCCAACTTGGCCCATCCCAGGCACAATGGCAGGACTCGTGCAACTTAAGCTCATTTCAAGTCCCAGTTCTCAACAGAGGCCGTTTAGGTTATCTCAATACGGGAATACGGACGAAACCAAGTAAGTACACGGTATGTGAGCGCGGGACTGTTCTTGTAGGGAGAGAACACATAACACGATGTGTTCCTATGAGAACATATGTTGGGCGTTCTTTTGATAATATGTTTGCTTCTATAATATCAAATGTCTTCATTTGAGAATATTTTGTGTTCTTTTGAGAACGTGTTATGTGTTCTTTTGATAACAGATAACATGAACCTTGCCAGTGTACGCAGTCGTTGATATCACTCTGACTGTGTCCACATCGTGAGACTAAGTAGATTCGTGGTGCTGTGGAACGAGTCAATTTTTCAAAGATAATCAATCAAAAGATTTTGCACGAGAGATAAGAACTCGCATGCAAATATATACTAATGATATAAAATAACTATAGAATCAATTAAAATAAAATAAAACGTTGATCAGAATATTGAAGCTTTCCGAAATCAAGTGAACAATCTTCAATTACTTTCAATGAAGATATAGAAAGTCGTTTTACGCTCTAGCTTAGGGTTATTCATTTACTTATGTTCACTCACACAATAGCGTACATTGAACAGTTGAAATATATTTGTGATCTTAACTCGAACTCGAACTATTTATTATTGATTACTCATCACTGATATTACAATTTAGCGTAGAAAATATTCAATTAAGTACAACTCAATCTTCAATATCAAACCTAATAAACCCTAAACCCTTCTTCGTAAACATGGAGTCTCATAGCATTGTTGTGCACAAAGTCAACAAAGGATCGAGGAACCTATTTAGCGGTCTGAAGCCTTTTGTCAACCTAGAAGCGGAAAGTAGGTTTAAATAAACTGTCTGCACTACAAAAATATAAACTGTCAGTAGAGGTTTTACGAAAGTGAAGTTATTGTTCTTGTGGAATTGGAAACCATAAAGTTCGTAACTTGATCGTGAGATGCAAATATCAGAAGAAACGCTCCCACGAATTTCGCCAATGAAAATTTTTTCCATAGATATTCTGCCGGATGTGATTTTTATTTTTTAAATTGAATACTTTTTATTTAGTTCCTATGTAGTAATTTGGTTTGGATACATCATAGCTTTCCATGCAGGTACATGGGAATTTTTATTCCACATTTGAGACTGCGTTGCATTCATGTGATTAATTAAATTATTATGAAATTTTCGCCCTACACAAAACTTATGTAGATTATTCCACTTGTTTCTATTTTCAATTTGATAACACATGATTTTCTTCTGGATGTTGAATTACCAGATTCTACAGTATAAAATATCCCGTTCTAGTAATAAATAGTGATAATTTTTCCGTTAAAAAATGAGTAGAGATTAGAGCTCCACTCAAGTTATAAATGGTGACAAAAATTCTGTTCTATTTATAAATAGTGATCAGAGTGTCATTCAAGTTATTAATAGCGACAAAAGTTCCGTTCAATAATTAAATAGTGATACGAGTTCCGTTCAAATTATAAATAATGACCGAAGTTCCGTTCAATTATTAAATAGTTATAACGTTTAGTTCCTTTCAAGTTATTAATAGTGACAAATATTCTGTTCAATTAATAAATAGTGATAAGAGTCCCGTTCAAGTAACGAATAGTGACAAAAGTTTCGTTCAATCCGTAAATAGTGATATGTATTCGGTTCAAGCTACAAATATAGTGACAAAAACACCGTTCAATTAATAAATAATGATTAGAGTTCCATTCAAGTTACAAATACTGACCAAAATTTCGTTCAATTAATAAATAGTGATAAGAGTTCCATTCAAGTTACAAATAGTGACAATAGTTCCATTCAATTAACAAAAAGTGATGAGAGTTCCGTTTAAGTTATAAATAGTGACACAAGTCCCATTCAATAAATACAAAAGAAGAGTTCCATTGATATAATAAATAGCGGCAAAAATTCCGTTCAAGTAATAAACCGTATTAGCAGTTCAATTCAGTTATTAAAAAAATTCAATTAAATTTAAAAAGTATAAAAAGCGGAAGGTTGTCTCGTATGAAACTCTCGCCGCCGGTTCGCTTGTCTGCAGTCGAGATTCATTACGAGTGAAATCGGATGCCGGGTGCGGATGACACCGAAGACGGATGTTGATGAATGAACTTCAAGCCTGGACAGGTAGATGACATCCACATCTGCTAATTTCTTACATTATTTAACATGGTTGCCGGATTCGTCATGAGAAAATCCTGCTCTAAATAGTTTTTTTAAAGGTAATGATAAGCAAGGTCAAGTTTTTTTCTTACTCGCTGCTATAATTGAATATTATTTATTTTTGTAGAAATTAGATAGGGGATTTTGAGCTAAACAAGCAAAGAAATGGGGGTTGTTGACCATTGAGACAATAATGTGCCGCACTAAATTCCTGAAGCTGTCATCATTGTTATCTTAATTGTCAGATTTATTGATATTCTTTGCATTATTATATTCATCGACGAGAATATCATCTCCATAACATAATATTAATTGCATTCTCATTCGTAAAAATTCTAAACAAAACATCATTAGCACAAAGAAGTGAAAAAATTAAGGCCGAAAATCCGAGAGACGCAATAGGAGATATGTATTATCATTAGTCACAATGTTTATTGTCATTTTTGAACTGTAGGATACCAATTGTATAACAAAGACCTTCAGGTCAATAATATGGCAAAAGTTTTAATATAGAGCGAAGGACGATATATTAAAAATTAAAGACGTTCCGTAGACTCCTTCACTTCTGGATTAGCAAATTGAGCTAGCAAGCGATACGCGGGCCTTTGATTAAATATCGGCCCCAATATTGAGAGACTCCAAGCCCGATGAATATTAGAATAAAAATAAACCTATATTCCATTTTAGTTTTAGCTTCAACCCTCCTAGCCAGGTACTTCTGGTGTATCGTAAGAGATAGTTTAGACTAACGGAATAAATATGAACATTAGTGCAGTTGTTAACTCATCGCAAGTCTTTACTATTTCAAAACACTTTATCCGAAACGCTAAGTAAAGATTTTACAGTTAATTATTGCGTAATTACTGGGAGAGTCTATGCAATGTTACTGTTGAATCAACCTTATTATTACCATTAAATTCTATTCGTGGGGAAAAAAATATTATATTATCAATTATTTGAAAAAAAGTGTTCGAGAAAAATATTCGAAAATTTAGCACAGGAAATTAAAAATATTGATTTATCACAGAACAACAGATTATAAAAAATGCATTGAGGTTTATATAAATTTCAAAGATATTGAGTTCGAAGTTTCAGTAGCCAGCTACTCTTGATTTATAGTAACATGATTCAGAAAACAGTAATTCCCAGCTTATAAATAAAACATTACATGTTTCATCATACTCTGCTCCCTGCAGTCATGTGATGTTCGATCAAG